GTGTAAGGTTTTAGGAAGGGCCTTCCTTGAAGGAACCCTCCTCGCAGTACCCTTATTTGGGACTCCCTTATCGCATTTTTGTAATACCCTCAAGGAGTCTCTGAGGGTTTAGGCTCCTGCATGGCCATGCACAATGTACAGTTTCAGTACTTCCGGCTCTAGAGATATGCGTTTTTACCCGTGTTGTAGATTTGGAGGGCTTGGGGTTTTTGGGGCACTACTTGGGGTGCTTAGGGCTAAAGGCCTTACGTATAGGGTTTTCGTGTGCAGGGTTTAGAATTTAGGCATTTGTGGCTTTAGGCTTTGGCGGTCAGGGCTCATTGTAGCTTTGCCTTCCTATGGCATTTTTCAGCAGTACAGAAGTGGAAGTTTCAACATCAGGGACCAAAAAAGATGCGCCAGAGTTGCGAACCCCCGCGCCCCCTCCCCCTCCCATGGTATAGCACATAGATCCACTTTACTTGGTAACTTTCTTAGCCTTGAACGCATAACAGATGAACCATTGCGAACACTGCAGTGGCTTCCGGTTCGATTTCGCTTTCAAGCGCTTTTCGTTTTGAGCCCATGGTGAGCGACACAGCTTCTCCCTCACGTGGGCTAAACAAAGCATTGGAACGGGGATATGCGCCTCTTCCCCTCTGTGGAGCGGGAGGGGGATGCGTCAAGGAATCAAGGCTGTGTGGGCGTTTGTCGGGGGGATACAAGGGGGAGGCAGGAGGGGGGGCGAGAACCCAGAACCGACATAAAAAGACCCAAAGAAGCGCAACCTTGTCGTAAAGCACCAACCCGCAAAAAGGTTTTCCCTGAAGAGGACCCTACCATGGAATCCTTGATGTATTCACCCCCACGCACGAACCCGCCTTACAAACCCAGCCAAAGCTCATAAGATGCCCTATACATCTAGTCAAAGTAGGCCTGATTGTGCATGCCGCCAAGCAAACCCCGCTTAGCGAAGAGTCCTCAATAGAATCCCAACAAAAACCGGCGTCGTCTAAACCCTGAAGATAACCCCAAATCCTCAAGCCCCGATCCCTTACACCCTTTAGGGTTTAGGGTTTAGGGTTTAGGGTTTAGGGTTTAGGGTTTAGTGTCCTTAAGCCCTTGAGCCCTAAACCCGTCCTTTGTCAGCACAGCGCCCCGGGTCACCTTTGCCCGGCTCGCAGCCGAAGCACTGGCGGCTCCCAGCGCAAGCACTCCAGCAGCCGAGCCGAAGGAAACGATGGAGGAAGTCGTACTTCGTGCCTGAGGTCCTGCCTGAGCACTATTTAGGGTTTGAAGCTTGTTTTGCGACCCGCCCAGCCAAGTAGGCTTTAGGGTCTTGTGTTTGGGAATTTAGGGCTGGATAGGTGTTTGGGCATGAGCTTCTCAAATTGTCGGACTTACGTAAATGCTGCCAGAGGGTTTGGCGATGGTGCTGCTGCTGGTTCCACGAATGTGGCCAACCACGAAAAAGGGGTCGTATAGGCCAGTTGGTTGAATCAGGGAAAAGGAGGGACCCTTGATGGGGACCCCTACCCTATAATGGGCTATATAATGGGTTTTTCTTAGCTATATTAAGGGTATATACCTAGGGGTCCTTATTAAGGGTCCCTCCTTTTACCCTTGGATTGAAGTTCTGGCCGGCAGAGCTAGGATACGACTGCAAATTCAACAAGTCTCGGAGGGTCTCTCATTGGCTCAATGAGCATGTTGAACTATCGCCGGAAGTGTTTGTGACAAGATTGCAAACACCTCAGGGGACGTAGTAGCTTAGTAGAGTAAAGCTATAACGAGATACTGACAACTCGACTTGTTTCCTGCTTAGCACTTCACCAGCGAATCCAAGTAGCAATTTCGCAATGAGCAGCATACTGTTGATTGATGATATAAATCCTGCATTACCGTAAGGACCCTGAACTATGGGAATTATGGTATATTCCTTATTATGGGTAATGCAGGATCTGTATCATCAACCGTACAACTATAGAATCTGATTGGAAAAAGTTTCCCGCATGGGACCTTAAGAACTTTAGACGAGTATCAAGGGGACCCGATCGCCGAGAAAAGGCACCCCCAGAATAGAGAGGCTCCTATATAATCCGAATCAACACATAAGAAAATTATCAAGATCCACATAGCTGAACCATGCAACTGAAGCTTAAACTCATTTTCCCACTGGACTCAAGTCTAGCCAGACCTCGAACCTGAATCATCTTCACTGAAGCCCAGAGGCAAACCAAACCCCAAACCCCCAAGAATACCCTACACTCCTAGACCCTATAGCGGAGTGCTCACGACAAAATCCTCTAACACCGGATAGAACCTCAATCTGAAAAAACACCTATTACCAAAACTAGTTCTCAAGGTTCCTTGCCATATGCGGGATTTATATCATCAACCGTATTAGTTTAGGGTTTAGGGTTTAGGGTTTAGGGTTTAGGGTTTAGGGGTATTATATACCCAAAACTCTAGTTCGATTGTCAAGGCCTCTACACTCTCTCTCTCTCTCTCTCTCTCTCTCTCTCTCTCTCTCTCAGGTGCTCGAAGCGTCAGACAGCTATACTAAACCCTGAAACTAGTTGCCTCTACTCACCCTTACAGAACACTTTTAAACGAACACAGTCCAGTTTGTAAGGCCCCTCTAGTACACCCTCTCTCTCTATCTCTCTTTGTCTCTCTCTCTACAACCCTACAGCCCGGAGAGGAACCCTGATAGGATTCCTAAGCCCCTTTATCCAAAATTGTGGACCCCCGGTAACCTAGAATAACAGTGTGTCACTCTTTGGTACTGGGTAGCATTGTCAGGATTGCTGAGGCCACAAAAAGGTAAACAAGATCTAGCAAGGAGTACACCCAAATTTCCTCTCTTCCAAATCCTGCACAGTAAGGATTCCTAAGCCCCCATATTCAATCCAAGAGCTTAGACTTCCTGAGCCCCAAACCTTGCTCACCAAACCCGCAACCCTAACCCCCAAACCCATTCAAAGAAGCCCTTTCCCAAAGGGTGCAAGTATCATTATGGCAAAAACTTAGACCCCCAAAATACCCAACAAGAAAATACTTTAATGATACTTGGACCCTTTGGGTTTTTCGCCGGCCTGACCACGACTGCGGAAGGCTTGGCGGCCCTCGCTGGCCACGCTGGGGCTTGCGGTGAAGGCCTGGGCACCTTAGTGCTGTTGTATGGTAGGGGTTTTGGGCTTAGAGTTTACGTGTCTTTTCCATGGTTTAAGGGCTTATAGGGTTTGCGCTCTTGCACTCGGGCAAGCCAGGGGTCAGGGGGTTTGGGGTTTAGGGGTATGAAGGGGAGTTTCCGAAAATGCGGGACCCTAATACTCAGTATACATGTATACAACGCGCCTCTATAGCTCTGCCTTCAACCCCTTCTTTTTGCCACTGGGCTTGGGGCTAGCCAGATCCTTGCATCGCGGCCTTCAACCCCTAAAGTCTAAGCCACACCGAGCCCTGAATTTTTGCTGGAGCAGGCGCTGAATCTTAGCACCTGAACCCACAGATCTCGCGGTTGCCTTTATGCTTCCTTTTGGGATTTGGGGGTTAAGGCTTGTGTCATGTAGGGGCCTTAATAATTAGAATAGGGTTTTGGGGGGGCCTTATGCTATAAGAGGAACCGCCAAAATCCTACAGGTAATTATTTAGGCCCCTTCAGTAGGGTCAAGGGTTTAAGGAGCCTATACCTATTCCCCTAAACCCTAAACAACACAAAGCATCAGTGTCCGGGCACCGAGGAAAGCCAAAGTCGCCGAGCCAGCGGCCAAAGCTGCCGAGGTTCCTTGGTTCCCCAACATTTTAGGATTTAGGGTAGGGCAAATTATACAAAGCCTGGGGTGCCTTTAAGGGGAGCTTTAAGGGCACTTTTAAGGGGTTCCTTTAAGGGATCTACAGTGTTTTTTGTGGTTTAGGGATATAAATCCTGCATTACCCAGAATAAGGAACATACCATATTCCCATAGTTTAGGATCCTTAAGGTATTGCAGGATTTATATCATCAACCGTATCCCCTCTAACACGAACATTAACAATACAAAATGGGCATCGTAACAGTATCCAGAACAAGACGAGTTTTTTGACAACAATCAAAGCATCTTATAACAAGAATGGCTTTGGTATTCGTATTGTCATTCTTATTATCATCATAATTCTTACTGTTAACATTATTATTATTTCGTATTACTAAATCGAGTAATGACGAGAACCCAGGGTCGGGAGGGAGCCATGACACCTACGGCTGACAGCAAAGCAAGGCCGCTCCTGTCCTGTTCCAGCCAAAACGGCTGCGGAACTGGAGCTGCTAACCTTTATAAGGGCTCCTATAAGGGTCCCTTTGAAGGGGTATAGGGTTTAGGGTCTACTTGGAGGTTCATGGGTAGTTACCAATAGTTATAAGTCCCCTAATATGGGTTATAACTAAGGTTACGTACTTATAACTCCACTTATAACTCCCCATGGACCTGCAAAATGGACATGGCAGCCTACTGAGGCGCGGCTTCGGCGCGAAGCCTTGGACGAGCTAAGGTGAGGCCAGTATAGCATCGGGGGATTTTGGCGTCGCTTAGTACCGTCCGACAGCCTTTACGGTTTAGGGTTTTAGGGTTTAGGGAGTACATCACGTTGGACGGTTGGGGATTGGGGCCTGCAGCGAACACCCAAATCTGGTGAACCGCAATCCATGTCAAGTTCTGCTCGCAGCTCGAAGCTTCGAACCGTGATGTTCTTTTTTGCCGTGATGTTCTTGGTCCAGGCGGTTCAGGGCGGTGCGTGCACGGGAAGAGCTAAGTAGGAAAGCCCTGCGGGCATGCGGCCACGAAAGCTGAAAGGAGGAAAGCCTGAAACCTAAGTTTCATCCGCAGGGGCATCAAAGCAAATTTGAACAGGGTTGATTGCACAGGGACACCCAGTTTTAATGAACCCGCCTCCTTTTAACTACAACCCAAACCCCAAATCGCCAAACCAACACCCCAAAGCCCCAAACCAAAAGCCCGTAAGAGAGGTCCGACCATGGCCTGCACGTGGAAGACTTCGACGCAGACTTTGTTGGCAAACGTATCGACCAGCCGGGTGTGAAACGCATGCGCGGAAGTCCCCTGGCCTGAGCCCAACAGCGGTTTGGGATTTAGGGATTTATTTTTTTTAGGAGTTTAGGGTTTAGGATTTAGGGTAGTTTTTTAAAGAGTTTTATAGGGATTTAGCTTAGTTTCAGGGCTTTTGGGGGTTTACGGATGCTCTGCAGCCTCAGCCCAAAGCATACATCAACATTTTCGCCACAGCGTACCACAACTACAATACATAATGCGCTAAACCCTGAAATATTCAACCCCTTTTACAGCACGGGCTTATGGGCAAGCGAACACACCTCAACAGCAGGGCCTTCTCGTTTAACGAAAACTCTGAACTAATGACAGCCATCGCGGAATTCAGAATGTCCAGACCTGTCAAAACCCGCAACCGAGAAGGAGAAGCGAAATGGAAAGGGTGGTCCCCAAAAAGGGTGTTGTATTACGTGTAATATTGTATTCTCGTGGAATGTGCTACATGCTATGATCGTATATGCCCTTGCATTAGATCAGAATATGCATTGTACTTTGATATCTTTATTGTGATACACCAGACCCAGAGAAGGAACCCATATCGCTCAATAAATGAATGCAGAACTCCGAGATCGAGATAGTAGAATGCTCTTCTGAGGGTCATGCCTTAGGTGGAATCTCCCTCGCAAGCCTGTTAAGACTGAGAAAGCTGTAACTCAGATCCCCTACTATCCAGCAGCCTGCTGTAACGAGGGGAAAACAGTAAGCTGTAGCCCGAAAAGAACACTGTTAACACCGAAATCAAACCCAACCTGCCCAGAGGCCACACACCTGAAATACCGACAGCCCTTGCTGGAACTCTGGAAGAGGAACCCTAAGCACAACCACTAACCCCAACTCCTGATATTCGGGCCGTGATGCATACAGTGTACAGTGTGGTATTCAGGCGTACAGGAAACTGACCATAACGGTGTGCCATTGCTAAGCACTCCGATTCCTACATTATATTCCTGAAGCCGTACAAGCAGAAAGCCGAAAACCCCGAACCAAAACAGCAAAACTACCCAAAACCATCATGGATCCCTTAAATGAATCTTAGCAAGAACACAGAATACCACTGGGATTCCGGGCCGGCAGACAAGACGTGGGACGGATTCTTCAAGAGCTCCCACGCCCTGGTGGCCTCGGAGCTGTGGACGAACCTCGGAGCGTTTCTAGGTCTTAGGGTTTGGGTTTCAAGGTTTAGGGTTTCAAGGCATAGCAGCAGGCTCTTGCCAGTTTTGGTTTAGAGAATGTCGAGGCGTTCAGGCAAGGTCTCGGTATGCATCCCTACAGGTCCGAGTACCGAACAATCATATACTCTCCCAGCGGTTTAGGGTTTAGGGTCTCGGCCAAACAATGAACTAGGGGCCTAGATAATTAAGGGGGGTTCCTTTTTCATCAAGTATAATGGGCCCCAAAACCCTATTCTAATTATTAAGGCCCCTAGATTGTTAGCTCCTTGGGACACTTGGGGTGCTCGACTTCTAGGAGACCGGTAGGTCTTGCCAAGGACAGTCCGGTTTGGGAGTGTTCAAGCTTGGCTCTACTCCGGGGTCCCTTGAGGGTGCTTTCTCCATTTCATCTTAAACCCTTAACTCAAAGGGTAAAAGGAGGAACCTTTGATAAGGACCCCTAGGAATAGAACTTTAATATAGTTATTATATACCCATTATATGGTCCATTATAGGGTAAGGGTCCCCAAAAAGGGTTCCTCCTTTTTTTTGGATAAACCCCAAAACCCCTAGAAGCCCGAGCCAAGCAGCTCGGTGAAAGCAAGGCCCTCTAGGGAGGACCCTGGGCGGTCGCGCATGAGCATGGCGCTGAGTTCCGGCGAATGCCGAAGCAAACGTAGGTCCTGGTGCTGCTGTGAGCACACGGTTTAGGGTTTAGGGCTCGACTGCCGCAGGTTTCTCTTTTTCGGGAGTGTTTCAGGGTTGAAACCGCTGCTTTTCTGCATGTTTGAGAGGTTTTGAAGGGACTTCCTAGTTAGATGAGTAAAATGTACTCTTATTCAGGGGCCATGATTTTCAACTAGCTGCAGTAACCGGCCACTTGTATTCGAGTCCCTTTTTGTAAGGAACTCCCAAGTACTCTTAATTATGCAGGTGGCGGTGGCGGTGCCGGTGGTGCTGGTCTGGTGCCGGTGTGTGATGGTGGTGCTGTGCTGGTTCCCTCAGCTGTTGCCGATTCTGGGTGACCGTTTTGCTATCCTTGCTAGTCTTACTCTCGGCTTCACTCTTTCGCTCTCTACCTCTCTGTGTCCACTTGAACTACGTCAGGTCCATGTTCGCCACTGCAGAGTCTGACCACCCGGCATTCTGCACTTGGCGTTCAGGTCCAAGAAGCCGACCCTCGCAGACCCTACACTCCAAAAACCAAACCGCTTTCGCAACGAAGCCGTAAAGTGATCCATTTTTAACAGAACCTGCAGTGCACTAACCCTATGGCCCACAACCCAAGGCCCTAAGGCCCAAAGACACTACAGCTCAAGAAAACCCTTCGATTCCCTCCGACATAGTGTTGAGCGTTCCGGGTTTACTAAACCGTAAGCCCTAAACCCTGAACCCTAAAACCTGCCTGGTCTAGTTCGACAACAGCGTCGCTCATAAGCCTCACCGTGAGCTTTGTTGAGACTCCAGCAAAATAGTTAGAACAGGGATTTGGCGGCCTGTCCCTTTGCATTGTAAGGGACTGTTCAGGAAAGTGTTACTACTTCTGCTAATTCTACAGGCCGTCACATTAAGGTTGTTCTGTTCATCTTCTGTCGTCGGCGCGGCTCTTGAGGCTTTTGGGTTCAGGTTTGCCGGACTGGGTTTCAGGCTTAGAACAAGGCTTCAGATATAACGAACCTAGGCTTGAGGCTTTCCGTTCCGGGTTTATAGGTTTCGTTCAGGGACCCTGAACCGGTTTATAGGGTCCTAGTAGGTCCAACTGATGCGCGTAAGTTTTTGTTTTTTGAACCTGGCAATTGCAAGTGTTGAGGGTGTACAGATTGGGTTTGGCCGTTGCCCTTCGGTGGGAAAGCTCTTTATACCAGTGTAGTGATGGCCTCTGGTGGCTTTCGATTGTGAACCGAGCAGCTAAAATGAAAGATCCGTCCTACGATAGGGCTTACGAGTCCTGTGATCTCAGTGTGTCAACTCGCGCGCTCGCACAAGGCAGAAGTTTCGGGTTTATGAATTAGCAGGGAGCGGGGGAAAGGAAGTGTATCTCCAACCCCGCAACCTCTCCGAATGAACAACTCAGCACCGGGAGGCTCATGAGCAATTGCAAGCAAATATCAGCCCTGAGCCTCACGCAAAACTCTGACAGCTGAACCCTACGGTCAGCACTTCAAAACCCAAATGCTCTGCCCTGAAGTCTTAGCTTCCATTGAAAATATGTAAAACTTTACTGCAGAATGGTTCCTTGAAGGCAAGGAACAGGTCGAACAAAGGGGTACTGCACTGTAGCACTCCAGAACTCAGGAGCCCGAGCCTTAAACCCTAAACCCCATTCACCCTAAACCCTAAACCCCTAACCCCTAAACTCCTAGACCCTGAACCCTAAACCCCTAACTAACCCCTAAACCCCTAACCCCTTATAGTTGTTGTAAACCACTGCACACACGCACTGATGATACCCGTCCAAGTGTTAAGGACTAGCGCAGCTGTACCATTGGGTATCTACGCCTTTTTACCCTCAGAGCACTTGTGCCACAATGTTGCACACACACAACATGCTACTTCACACGTGCACAAATTACACCCCCCTCGCCGAAGCGTCAGTCTGAGGCGCAAACATGCACGGAAGCTTGGTGCTGTGTGGCCTGCCGTAAAGGCGGCTGAATTGTGGCTCGGGGCTCATAGGCTTTCTACTACCGTAAAGTGGAAGATACGGAAGCAGATTAATTCTTTTAGCGCGCGGTTTAAAGTCGCGACATGCATTATAAAATGGCGACGATCCAGCAAGCCTTGATTGATGGCGTGGATACAAGTCGCAAGAACGTGTGCAGCGTGGGACGAATACATCATCCTCTGGAGCTGCTGACTGTTCGGATTTGTCACAAAGTGACTGCCAGGAAATACAGAATGAAATTTTTCTGGTCTTAAGGAAATTCGGCCACCTCTAGGAGGGGCTGTATTTCGGAGTACCGGTTAACGTGACGGAACCACGAAATGACGATCAGGTACTTAGTACCATCCTCGGGAACCGGAGGAGCGGCCATAGGGGTGGGACCCGCGTTGATAGCCTTGGTCCCACTCCTGCTGATAGCGCTGCTGCTCAGCTCGGCGTGCATCGGCCTTTGCTTGTGCGATGCGAGAACGCTCCGCATTGCGTTGGCGTTCTTCATATGCACGGCGTGCAATTCCGACCTGTACCGCGAATTTCCCACGGAGCCACTCAGTCCAGTCCTCAGCAGAATAGCCGAGTCGTGGATCAACGTAGAGTGCCTCTTCTGAGAAAGTAACAATCATTTTCACGATTTTGTGCTGGAGGAAAACATCTACGAATTTACGCAAACTGTATGCCCCTCCCAGCCACATGATGCAAAACGGATCGTCACTCACTGCGGAGATCAGGCCTGCCCTAAGGGCGGCTGGATTGCACTCGTGCAAATAGAGCAACCGAGCAATCTCCTGGTTCCTCGGCCCTTCGGAGCTTCCACCGTAGGTGCCGACAGCTAACTGTCGTTGCTCCTTCGAACGGCCATGGTTCGGCAGTGCAGCATGCCTAAGCACGTCTTCGATGGCCAGAAACTCACGATCGTACCCATTGCCGATGGAACTCATAGTGTAGTCCACATCATTGTCGAAGCGGTGTACGATGCTTGTGTAGCCTCCTTTTGTCGCCATCTTTAACTGCTGCCTGGCCTTGTCCAACGCCTCTGCGTCAAGCGACGTAGTTCCACGCTGCGTTGAAAAGTCTCTGGTCATTTCATGGATGACCTCCTCCGGCGTCAGCTGGGAACGTGGCTTGCCCGCGGTGGCTGCGGCGGCCTCTTCAGCGAACCATCGGGCCGTACGCACTTTCTTGCGTGCGTTTTGCTGGGAAGGCTTCACTATGTGAACGCCACAGCTCAGGCAGATCATCTGTCCCACAAGATGCTGCGCACCGCAGTGGGGACATGCCCTGTGGCGGCCACCCGTAACGGGGGCTGGAGGGAGAGCCAACGGAGTCGATTCCGGCTGAGGCGGTGCCTGCTCGAACATCGGCTCTACTTTGGCCTCTTGTTCCTCCTTTTTCACATTGCCTTCTTCATCGTCAATCTCGATCTCGACCTCGACAGGTTCCTCTGGCTCAAGGAAACGCACTCGCTTTCTGGACTCAGTTTGCACATCTGGTGGCGATGCGCCCCCCTGATCCAATGTTGCCGTTTCCTCGGGAAGGAAGTCGGAGGCCGTGGCGTCATTGAGAGCGAGGGGTGCCAAAGATGCTGACGGTCCCCCCTCAATCTCAACTTCAACCATGGGTTCGTCTGCCGTTGCAGACGCTGCTGTTTCAACCTCTTCATGGCCACCACTAAGTGGGGCTGAAGGTTCCTCCGGAACATCGGGGAACTGCTCCGGCTCAGCTGCTCCAGGATCGACGATGGGATCCTGGGCAGTCTCCGGAATGATTGTATCCTCCTCCTCGCTGGATTGACGAGACCACAGGATGATGCCTTTGATGGTGTCGCGGATGTAGAGCACACAAGTCCCCGGCACCGGATCGCGAGTGAGTATGCCTTCGGAAGTTGTCTCGAAGAGGTACGCATAGCGGTTGACCTCCTGAGTGTCGAGTACAATTTCGTAAGGCAGGTTCGCTCGGCTGCCAGCTTTATTCTCAAGTTCGCTCAGGGTGGCTTTGGCGAAGTAGTTGTGGAACTTGCCGCTCCTGTTGAACCCTGGCGTAAAGCCAGAAGAGAGAATATTGAAGGCTGCATCATGCGTCGTCCTGTGGTAGAGACGCGGGGGAAACTCCCCGAGAGCAAGGAATGGCCTGCCTTGATAGGCGGCTGTAGGTCCAAGCTCCTCTCGCGTATCGTTCGTGAACCAATGCAGCGCAATGGAGGCATCGGTCACTTGGTCCTTGATGCGTTCGCTGTGACCATGCGAAGCACAAATCCAAGAGGGCCAAATGTCCGTCTCAATGAAGTCAGCACGCGGATCGGTGGGGAGGCCTGCCAAGTTAAACCTCGATTTGTTATCGTCGGCGACTATGGACAAGATACCTCGTGTTCCCAGATCCACACGTGGGAAATTCCTTAAACAAGGGCTTCGGGCAGCAATTAAGCCGTGGGCCTCGGGAATAAGCCCAAATCGTTTCCGAGGAGAGTGAAAACGAGAACAGACAGAAATGGGCCCGATCAGCAGCAAGGCTCGCCAAAATCCGAAATCTGCATGCAGTTTCTTGAGTCGATGTGCCTGTTATGAGTCCCGTCATCATGAGCATGTGAAGAAGCACAAATTTGATCCATCACCGAAAGCACCCATTGAGCACGTGAGGAGGCACAAACTTGATCCAAACACTGAAGTGCCCATTGCACCCCGCGCGCGCGCTCACAATTTTCCCCATTTCAGCTGATTCATGTTGTGCTGCATTGCCTGCCAACCACGATAGGATTTCATTGCCGAGGTGACGGCAGCGGCGGGCCTAAGTACCGACCCCGCTCGGTAGTTAAGCTTTCGGTCAGTTTAGGATTTGATTGCCAGCTTTCGGTCGGCCGGTTTGGGATTTGATTGCCGAGGTGCGGCACTGGCGGCTCCATTACCGACCCCCCATCGGTAATTAAGCTTTCGGTCGGCCGGTTTGGGATTTGATTGGTGAGGTGGTGGCAGCGGCGGGCTTAATTACTGACCCTCCCTCGGTAATTAAAACTTTCGGTCAGCCGGTTTGGGATTTGAATGTTGACGTGGTGCCAGCGGCGGGCTTAATTACCGACCCGCCTCGGTAATTAAGCTTTCGCGCATCCGGTTCGGGTCTCGTTGCTCGTCGGTGCGCAAAATTACCGACCGCCCTCGGTAATTAAGCTTTCGGTCGGCCGGTTTGGGATTTGACTGCGACAGTGGTGGCAGCGGCGGGCTTAATTACCGACCCCCCTCGGTAATTAAGCTTTCGCGCGTTCGGTTCGGATCTCGTCGTTCGTCGGCACGCTTAATTACTGACCCCCTCGGTAATTAAGCTCCGGTCAGTTGCGGGGTGGTGCGCCCGTTCCCGAGGCCCCGGGCTTAATTACCGACCCCCCTCGGTAATTAAGCTTTTTGCAGTGAGGATGTCGGGAAAAAGTCTTCCTGAGCAGGTCGAAACCAGCTGCTCAGGAAGACTTTTTCCTGAAATCTTCACTGCAAAAGGCTTAATTACCGAACCCCCTCGGTAATTAAGCTCCGGTCAGTTGCAGGGTGCCGGGCCCATTCCCGAGTTGCCGGGCTTAATTACCGACCCCCCTCGGTAATTAAGCTCCGGTCTGTGGCAGGGTGGTGGGCCCATTCCCGAGGCCCAGGGCTTAATTACCGACCCCCCTCGGTAATTAAGCTCGCTCAGTTGCGGGGTGGCGGGCCCATTCCCGAGGCCCCCGGGCATAATTACCGAACGCTCTCGGCAATCAAGCTTTTTGAAGTGAAGATTTTCGGGAAGGAAGTCTTCTTGAGA